TGAAACTAAGTCATTCATAATAAATATTATTCATTCATTTTAGAACACGTATAATAAACTATAAAAAGTATAGTTTAATGAATTCATAACACTAATACATTTCCATAAAAGAGTTCTTACATATTACAAACGTTTTAGATAAACTATAATAGGTATAGTTTATGATACATTACATAACACACTCATACAAAAAGGGTACATTCATACAGAAAAGGTTTACACTCACACACATTATACGTAAACTTGTTACCCTAAATTGTGAGACATTCTCTTTCCGTACGTCCGAGTGCGGAATATAATTCCTGGTAGTTATAATCAGAGTCTCCTGGAGGGAGAACGTGATACTTGTATATAGATCTATATTGGGTTTGACACCCCACACCTTGCTGCTAGATACAGTGGGACTTGCAGGTCTACGGGTGACAAATGTCATTTCATTTTCGCGACGCCTGAGAAATGTCGTGGCAGGTTCACATAGTCATAGTATGATTATAGCGACTCACATATGAAGATAACAATTCATAAAGTTTACGGGATTTTATAAAACCTAAGTAGGTTTTATGTTGATTTAAATTCACTTTTTATATCAATTCAAACTCACAGTATTCTACTAAGTAAGAATGATTTCTTATACATTTTGGTCTTTGGTCATAAGGCTACATTATACGGATTTTAAGGAAAATATCAAATTTTTCTGAAACAAACGCGACACTTACATGAGAAAGACTTCTATTAGGTTTTATATCAAAAACTTATTAACTCACCAACCTTTGTGTTGACACTTTTCAAACAACTTGTATTCTCAGGAAATCACTAAACAGGTAATCAAATGCTTTTGAGGATGGGACGTTAAGGCGTCAAACTTTTCATATTTTGTCAACATATTGTAATTGATTTTGAAACATGTAATTCATACAAGTGATGTAACTTTTTCAATTATATATATGTTGGTTGTGTTTGCTTAAATTACTATTGAAATTGTGGTTATGATACTATACATGAAGTCCTCCACCCCCGGACGTTTCCGCCATCCTTGGTTTGGGGGTGTGACACATAACTTACTTACAAGGTGGTTTTAGCTAGGAGTCGGGTTCTGCAGGGGCAGAACTTCGTCGCTAAATATTTTTAAGAAAGATTCGTGTAGTGCTTCAGCGCTCACCTTACTATACTAAAACTACAGAAAAAGAAGTTGAATCATGAGGGACCGAAATGCTCGAGGGATAAGAAGACAAAGAATCTTGAATCAAGAGAATGGTGCAAGAAATATAAGAGCTCAAGCCTCTTATTTATAGTAATTGAATTTACAAAACTACCCTCCATAATTACTTAATGACCTTATAGTTATATAAACAACTAAACACCCCTTCATAATACTATTTTAAATAGATTTAACGATATTTGTACTAAACTAATGTCAAAAGTACTCAACACTAGTCTTATAATAACCACATCATCGATACCATTCTAATGATATATACATTTGTATATATATGTGTACGTATATATGATTTATACTTTATTTTAATACGTAAATATGCTATTATAATTTTTAACTCGTTCAAACGAACTTCATTTTTGACGTTCTTTATATCCATGGGTCAGTATTTACGAGTACTACAACTTTCATTTAGACGCCGTCAGCTAATTCTCATTCTATCTCAGATTTACAAAACTATATCGAATTTATCGCGCTCGAAGAGTAGGGACCAAATTTCGTCCATATCTTTAACATACGAGCTCTACTCTCGGCATTCTTTATATCCACGCATAGGTAAAAACAAGATCTAAAACTTTCATTTAGACACTGTCGACTAATTCTCAACTGATCTTAAATTTAATAGTAGGAGGAGATTATATTGTTAAATATTTGCGTAAAATTCATAACTTCTACATATGGAATCCATTTTCGTCTATCTTTTTACCGTTGGGCTCCTATTAATGAGATCTTCAACTCTCATTTAGGTCACGTAGGCCAAAAACCGCTCGAACTAAAATTCAAGTTTCGGATCGTGTACTGTTATGCCAAATCTTAGAAAACTCATAACTTCCTCATACGAAGTCAGATTTGGGCGTTCTTTTTTTTTGTATGTTCTCAATTTAACGTATTGTACGACTTTCATTTAGATTACTAAGTCTAAAAAGTCTTCTATCATAAATTCACTATTTACATCTCCCGGTGTCGTGCAAGTTTTACCGTAAAACATCGACGAGTCATAACTTCTTCGTTATAAATCGGATTTCGGCGTTCTTTATATGTACGGAACCCTTGTAGCATATACTACAACTTGGTTAAGATTAATCATTCTAAATAATATTCCATAAAAAACTCAATTTTGATACTCATCGTCTTTAAATTGACTAGTCCGGATCCGTGGGTGTTACAATTATCCTTTTATGACATCGTCATTCCTGTATATGAGTAAATTTTCTTCTCATGGATGTATCTTTTAAGTCTACTTCATAGGAGTCTATCCTAGGAAGTCTGCATTATAGCTGTATCTCAGCAAGCTCTACTAGCTTCAACTTGGTTCTCTGTCATTCCTAACTACACATCTCTTCTCATACAATACTATGAATGTATGTCTTCTTCAACAAATTACTCTACCTTACTCTTAACAAGTAAGTCACTCAGCCTTTTCATAGCCAAATAACCTATTTCACCATCCTAATCATGTATGTTAAAGTCGAATTAACACATAATGGAACTTCCATAAGGATATGATAGAAGTCAATTTGCCATTTAGTATTATTAAATACTAAGTTTGAGCATTCTGCATAGGTTTACATATCAACTCTTATCATACTACTCAAACTGCATACTACATCATAATGTTAGACAAGGACTTGGTCTATTAAGTCTGAAAACTTCATTATCCTTTCCTTTGATCTTCATTTAATTCTTTTAAATTTTTCACAACCTCAATTGTGATACTGCCGAAGTATTGATCACCATCTTCAGTTCTTCTGACTCTATAGCCAATCACTGCTTCAATCTGGATAGTGGTGGAACAACTTCATAGATTGCACCAACACATTTATCTCGCCCAAATGTGTCTTAAACGCACATCATTCTTCCAAAGATGTTATTATTTCATCTAACATACTTTAAATGTATAATACCACTCAATAGGGATTAATACACTTATTTATGATAACACTTCATAAATATTATTTTATGATATCCCTTGATCGTTTATCTATAAAATTATCAATGTCGTCATCATAAGTCTCTTTATCACTTCGAAAAGCTTCTTATTAGTTATAACACAGAAATTTTAGAATCTGGAATACTTAAAATTTCTCCTTCCAGACCAAGGTCGGCAACAGACCTTAAAATTTCTCAACTAATAGCAATATAGGTAAGCAACCTAAGGCATGCTATATTCATTTATTATTCAACACATATTAGAATATAAGGCATGTCTCCTCTTATATTCTAGTGCTTGTGTCCATTTAGGTATTTAACCTAAAATATACTAGATATACGTCGCATCATTATCACTTAGCAATCCTTGTTTAAGTCTATAAATTCTCAAAATTCCTAGTTCACTTAAACTAATTCTCTAAAAATTCTTGAAATAACTTAATATTCTAGATTACTAAGGTTTATCACTACCCAATACACCACTTAAATCATTCCTATGGCTTGTATCCATATATTTATAATGAATCCATTCATATATTGAACTTCCAACGATTTAAGTCTAAATACCAATTTGTGGTATTTAGTTCACTTAAACTACTGCTCTAAAACCATGATTGAAAGACCCTAACTTTCGTATTTCTAAAAGGCCCAAACTTTCATACTTCACAATATTGTTACTCCAAAACATGCTACATGTATATTTATAAATAATATTTTCCATTGATAGTTTGATTACAAAAGAGTGGATACAAATCAACTATTAAGATTTTTAGGTTGGGATCTTATTTGGCTTATTTGTTGCTATATGTCAAATACATTCTCTTGACCACTCCTTTTACGGAGCTACTTCATCGCATCATCTCTTTCTTACGTAGAGAGTTATCTATGAATAATCTTAGTGTCTTGGCATACTTCTTTGGTATCTCTGTCATAAGAAATTTACATGAATTATTTCTCTCCATAAAAGAATACCCCCTTGATACTCGAAAGGGAAAATATGGCTACTTGCAACCATTGTCGTACTCCTGCTAACAAACAATTGAAGCTTGACAAGACCGATCCATCAATTATGGACCCAACCTTGTACTGCAGCCTGGCTGATGGATTACAATACTTAACTTTCACCTAATCAGATCTCTCTTTCAATGTTCAACAAATATGTATATACATGCATGATCCTCAGGAACCTCACCTACATGCACTTAACACATCCTTTTCTATGTTCAACGGACCCTTGATTATGGTCTTCAACTTCACTACTTGACTACTATTGACCTCACTACTTACTGACTCTGTTGTCGATTAGGGGTGTCCCTCATCACGTCGCTCTACTAGCGAATATTGTGTGTTTCTCAGCTATAATCTCATATCCCAATCCTCCAAGCGCTAGTCTACTATTTCCAGATCCAATGTTGAGGCTGAGTACAAAGCTAATGCAATCGCTAAGGCTTATTAGCTTCGCAATCTATTATGCGAATTGCACAATCCTCTTGCTAAAGCCACCATTGTATATTGTGATAACGTAAGCTTCATGTATCTCATCAACAACCCTGTTTAACATCAACGAACCAAACATATAGAGATTGCCATCCACTTCATTTACGACAAGGTTGCAACTAGATAAATTTGCATTCTTCATGTGCCTTCCAACCATCATTACGTTGGTATTTTCACAAAGGTTTGGTCTTCCCACTTCTTTGTTCACGAACTTTAGATCAGGTTTCAGCATTCAACCCCATCCTCCCGACTAAACTCTTGGGGGGGGGTGTATTAGTGTATATTACTTGTATAATTTGTAGCCTTAATTCTTTAGTCCAATTATAGGCCATGTATTTTTGTATATATTGTGTTTAATGCTAATTATATCATTCATGCGAAAATATTAAGCCTAATATCATGGTCCTCCAAACCTCAACATTGGTGTTACAGATACGTAGCCGAGACTTCTTGGCTTTGTGTCCTCCTACAAGAGCTTCATGCTCTTATTCAGTAACATCATCTACATATCCACCAACCTCCTATAGCACCAATAGATGAAACATATAGAGATCGACAAGCACTTTCTTCGTGACAATGGCCCTTGGACATATTCAAGTTTTTTGTGTCTCGTCGCAATATCAGTATGTCAACATCTTCACCAAGGGACTCCGGTGCTCGTTATTCTCAAAGTTTTGATCCAGTTTGAGTGTTCAGCAGCCTCTCATTCAAACAACGGGGGCATATTAGTGTGTATATGTACATTAGGCACACATAGTTATAGGTCTAAACCCATGTTTGTATTATGTACTACTTTCTTAAAGGAATAAGAACCAATAAACCATAAAAAGACATGTGATTTCAATGTTTTACACTTTCTGTGTCAAAAAATGCCATAAGCTTGGGTCATGAAAATAGTCTCTTTGTATAGTATTTATAGTACAAAACCACACAGAATTATTGTTTACTTATATACAAGCTTCTTCATGCCAAAAGGGTATAGTTTCTATTACTACTAATACTAGACCTAATTTCAGAAATTTCTCAAGTTCTTTTCTTCAAGATTAAGCTGCTGAACTCGCTGGCGTAATCTTCTTCGGTGATCATGAATCTTCCAAAGCCCATGTCCGAGTATCGTTGCAGAGTAAATTCCATGCGTGATGATGGGCGCTAAAATGTTATTCGTCTGCCAAATCATATCATAAAGAAATACATTCGTTAAAAAAGAAGTTCAAAATGGAGGGTAAAATCGTCATTTCAGAAGTTTATGTGTACCTGATTCCATTCAAATCCAAGGTAAAGAGCTAGAAGTCCTTCAAGTAATGGAGAATATATCTTCTTCATTTGTCTCCTTTCATACCATGCTGTAGAAATGTACATGCATAAGTCACAGAAATGAGGGGTAAAATGGTAAAATGGAAACTCTAGGGTAGACTGGTCACAAAAAGGTTAGTTTTTTTAATCTACACAATAAATCATAGATAGATGGTCGGAAATGTGAAATACCAACCCTACTACCTTCTCTTTTTATGTTCTCTCTAATGAGACTAACAACAATTGGTAGAAGGGTAGAATAGTAAATTTTATACCTGCAAAAAGTTTCTTCATTTCTTGACGACCAGAACGTGAACTCAAAACTGGTGCCACAACATAAGTAGGATCTGAACACGAGCAACATGCGTTATGTGATGAAGAAACAAAATCTTGAAATATGCAAAATAAAAAAAATAAATAAATAAATAATAAATAAAAAAACCTTTTGGAGATGCAGCCACATAATAAAGCGAACCCGTGAGTGCAGCTGTGATCACAGCTGCAAATGCTTGTGCAAATGGTACAAATGGAGGCAATACACCTGTCTACAAGTCAAAGAAAGTCAAAAAAAAAAGTCAAAGAAACATCATAACATTTGCATTAACTGAATGAAAGATGTAAAGTTGTCAAGTCATCTATCTCACCAGTGCAGCCATTCCATGTGCATTTGTTACAAGATCATTCCCCCTTAAAAACACATCAGCTAATGCACCCTACATATTTTTCAAACAAAGATCAAGAAACTAAATAAATATTATTAAATAATTTTTTAAACAAATTTATTTGTGTAAACTCACCTGAACTGCAGCCCGGTAGAAGAGCTCCTCTCCAACTGAACTTGCAGCCACAATTAATATAAACTGCAAAAAAAAATTTAATAAAATAATTGGAAATGATAATATATACACAAAGTTCAATGTCACAGCTAGCTTATTTTTCGAGTTTTTTTATCAGCTAGCTGCTAACTTTTCATTTATCAGCTGACTTTTCAGCTAGCAGCTAGCTTTCTAGCTTTTCATTTATCAGCTATTTTTCATTAATCAGTTGGCTTTTCAGTTAGCAGCTAGTTTTTCATTTATCAGCTGGCTTTTCAACTAACAGCTAACTTTTCAGCTAGTCTGTCAAACATAGCTAAAATATACCTGCCATGGAGACATTCCATAGAAAAAGCTTCTTAACTCCTCATCTTCAACATCCCGTATTGCACGAGCATGAGGCGATACCTTCACCACTTCGTCCTGTGCACCAGACAAATCACATTCGCTTTATTAGCAAGGGTAAAATGGTCATTACCTCACATTCAGACACTTCATGCAATCTAAAAAGAAACGATCTTTTATTTATCCATATCGGGTAAACTATATACGAGTGTTTCTTTTATTTAAACAACTTTATAATATCAAGTCACGGAAAAAGAGGCTTTCTTTCCCCATAAAGTTCCTAACTTTTTACAAATTTGTCTGAGTATGTTGTCATTTTCTCAAATATTAGATTAAAGATTAAAGATTGATCATACGTCTAGAATAAAAAGAAGGGCCATAATAGGAGGAGCAGCATATCCAAGTCCTTGAACAATTGCATCTAATGATGGTGAATATCCTCCTGTGCTATCGATTCCTGTTGTTGAACATATAAAGTTTCCTACAAATGCCATTGCACCATAAATTCCTGTTTTCACAAAAAAGAAAAGATTAAAATTCGTTAAATTAATCATCTAAAGAGAACAATAAAAACATAACAACCAATATCTTGATAGAAAGCATAACAACAAAATCTTTTTGTTACACACAAGAAAGAAACATTACACTTTGTAAAAGTGGAGAGTTTTGGATAAAAAGCATATGATAGTTTATTTGCATTTACACTTTAATCATTTTGTTACAGTCGATTATCTAATTCTGATTCTTAATAAAACTTGAAACTTCCGTATTAGGGTTGGAATTAGGAAATCAATAATCTAGCTTTTTGATGCAATCATACCTTGTTTCCATTTTCTTGATCGAGTTAATTGTGGATGGATTCAAGAACATGTGTGTAATAGGCCAAAATTAAACAATATGTTTACCAAAAAACAAAAAGGGTATACATGAATTTTTCACTTTTATTAGAAAGGAAGATGCAATCATGAAGAATAGTGAATTATGAAAAGGCGAAATCCTATGGTGAAATTTTGGCAACTGGATAGTAGATTCCAGACATGCTTATTAGTTATTACCCTAAAATGATGCTCAGATTTTGCTGTGATGTTGTCTCTCCCAAATTGAATATCCACATAAATGATAAAAACCCTATTTTTTTCTTCAAATTTCAAACAAACAGAATATCCATTGATCGATGTTCGTTCGAGATATCAAAAATTAAAACCCCGTCGTGGATCACCATCGAATCGACTATTCGATCAAGTACAACCATTAATGTCCTCATTCAAGTTTCAACACACAATGGAATTTTGTTTTGAAGTTTTAATTTAGGGAGAAGAAATAGAAACTAACCGATTCCATAGCTGAGTCTGACAACAGCACCGATTTTGTCCCAAACTGGAAACTCAGCATCTGGGAATGTCTGGTTAAATGTAGTGACCTCCATTGCAGAACTTGTATAGCTTGCTCCGACGCTACCACCGCCGCCAGCGACAGCGCTCTTCCTCTCTCCTGTATCGATCCCCTCACCACCATTTCTCTCGACCGTAGCTCTCACGCTTACTGCTCTTTTTACGGAAACGTACCTCCGTTTCTTTAATCTCTCCGGCAACCAGACACTTCCTCTGCTACAGCAGTAAGCGGAAGTAGTCGGAGTTGGGTTAGTCGTCGGAGCTCTTAAAACCATCGGAAACTCCATGAAACCGTGTAGTTTCACCACTTCGAATCAACCCCACCTCGAATTAGCATAATATCGTGATGAATGATTGATGAGTTAGTATTTAGAGGTTTTGATCGAGTGGATGAAACGATTTGTTGGTTTTTGTAGCTGTGGGTGTAAGACGGAATAGTCGTGACCGAGGGTCTCTGGTGTCCAGGGAAACTGACGTAGATGATGAAGGTATGATGGGGATGTGTCATGTATGTATGGTCGTCAGATCTATAGTGTGTTTATGGTCCCACAGATTTGAACTTCATATCATGAAGAATCGAAATGGCCAATGAGATTCGTATATGGAGATAATGCTGCATATATCTCCATTTTTAAAGGATAAAATATATGTTTAAGATACATCTTGATCTCCATTTATGTAGCATAGCACCCATAGATACTTGCAAATCATATTTGACTATTTGTGTAGATAAAATAAGTGGCATTAAAAATTTAATTTACAATCATGTTAAATTAAATACTATCAAATAAAAATAAAAATAAAAAATCATAATAAAAAAAGCAAAAATAAATACTAATAAAATCATATCATATTTTAAAAAACTAATATTATTATATTTTCATAAAACTAATAAAACTCATCTATATCTATATCTATATTACCTAATAAATAAAAATAATGTGTGTCACGTGTTATTTTTCTAAAGTATTAGTTTAAAATTTTATTTTTTATTTTCATGTTGACACGTGACAGTCTCAAATATTTTTTTTTTCTATTAATTCAATCTTTTAAATTCAATAAATCGAGATTATTAAATTCGAAATTTAATTTTTGAATTAATTTTCAACGAGTAAAGTTATCGCTATTTAGATTTTAATCAACTATTTAGAATATTTATTTTATTATTATTTTATTGACATATATTATGAGAAAATGTAAATAATTTCAAAAGTACTCTAATAAATAAAAATCTTTCATTCATTTTGTCACATTTAATTTTGTGGCTATAAATTTAATTTTTTTTTCATATGATTTTTTTTATTTTATTAAATTTCATATAATATTTAAATGTAATAATTGTAATAAATGTATATCAATTTCATATATGCAACTTTCCTTTTAATTTCAAAATTTTTAAATTAAAACCAAATTATTTTTTTTTTTTTATTTATTTAAATTATTTGTTTAAATTTAAATGAGAAATTAACATTTCAAAATTTAATTTTTTAGTATTTTTCTTATAAATTTAAACTTCTACATGTTTTGGACCTTCATATATAACTTTTTTTAATAATATGTGTACTAATTTGTTATATTTACTAAATACTTTTAAAGTCTTGTTTATTAAAATACAATATCATTTTACATTAACAATCATTTTTCAATGTAGTTTAGTATTGAATTTTTTTTATTTTTTTTTATTTTATCAATCTAATTTCATTTGTCTATCTTATAAACTCGTGGTTTCCATGGATATCTAACATTACATTATATATATATATATATATATATATATATATATATATATATACATATATATATATATACTAGTTTATAACCCGTGAGAACCATGGTTATAAAATTAATTAAATTTTTATAATAAAAACTCAAAATTATTAATCAATTATTTTAAATAAATTACTAATTAAGAGATATTTTTATTAGTTATGTGAAATTATAAACATTGATTCAAATAAATATGTAAAATTAATTTTCAATATATATTAGATATTTTTTATTTGTGAACTAATAAAAACAATAATATAAAATTTAAAAGTTAAAATAGAGAAATCAATACATTGAAAAATAGCATTAATAAGGAGGTCTAATAAATTTAAAATGGAGAACTAATAGATTGACAAGTGGCAATACATTATTTAAAAGGTCTAATATGGGGACATATGGCAAAAAAAACTACCCTTTTATTAGTATATATATATATATATATATATATATATATATATATATATATATATATATATATATATATATATTCGATCATTACTCTCACTAACATATATATTTAATATATATTTAAGTATAGTGAAGTCAATATAAATCTACCATCTCTTCTATTGTCTTTTATATATATATATATATATAGGATATAGATCCGGTAAGAAATTTTTTTTGGTAGGAAGGTAAGAAGTTTTTTTTTCTACATATTTTTTGGACGAACAAAATAAATGAATCACTAGATGATTCATTTCTAAGATGATTCACAAAAAAAAATTCTCAAAAAAACATCTTTATGATTCATTTTTAAGTAAATTAAGAAAAAAATTCATTTTTATGATAATTTTAGTGAATAACAACAAAATCATTGTATAAATGAATCATAAAGATGTTTTTTTGAGAATTTTTTCTTGTGAATCATCTTAGAAATTAATCATCTAGTGATTCATTGATTTTGTTTGTCAAAAAAATATGTAGAAAAAAAACTTCTTACCTTCCTACCAAAAATTTCCTTCTTATTTGATCTTGACTCTATATATATATATATATATATATATATATATATATATATATATATATATATATATATATATATATATATATATATATATATATATCAATGCGCATATAATAGTTTTTTTCATTAACAATAATTTATGTTTTAAAAAATTGTATTTTATAATTCTATAAAACATAAATTGTTATATATATAAAAAAAAGTTATGATTTCCCAATAAAATTTAACCCTCCAAAATTTAATATTTAATATTTGAAGTACATCTTGTTTTTAAATAATACATCATTTCTTCATAAAATCTAATAAACAAAAACAAAAACTAAATAGATCTTACAAATTAAAAAAATAACTTTTAAGAAATAAGTATTTCACATATCATCAAAGGTTATACACCAAAGGGCTTCTAGCCCAGCATTATCCGGTGTTGTCCTCCCTTCTTGAAATTGAAAGTTCAAGTTTTGTTATGGATATAAATGGATTTAAAAAGTAGTTTACTTGTTTATAGGGGTGACAAAGACTCAACCCAATAAATAGTAGGTTTGGTTGAAATTTTGAACTCATTTAATTAAATAGATCAACCCGTCTAACTCGTTTAGTTAAATGGGTTTGGTTAGAGTTGAAATTATTTACCGTGTACAAAGCATGTTTAAAATTTTAACTATATTTTAGTTTATATTTATTTAGTATTATTATTTAATTGATCATAATATTTTAATTATTTTTTTATTTATCAAAAACCATGGGTTAGTAACCGTTATTGGAATTCGAGTTAGTAAAATTGATAGTCAAGTGGCATAGAATTTAGAAATTAAACATTTATAATGTTTTATGGTTCTAAACATTTATTTGTGTATGGGTTGTGGGCCTATAAAGTTATTGTTGTATAATTTTCAAACTTGAACAATTATTATAACTTTTAAGTTGTATGCAATTTTATTTGGTGGATTATTATTATTTTTAAGGGTTATTTTATGAAAAATTAAAAACCCGAGTTTAACCTATTTAGTAAATATGTTGGTTAGAAAAACAATATACATATCAACCTAATTTCAATCTATTTATTAAAAAGTTTGGATTGGAATACGAATTCTCAACTCGTTTACTTAAACAGGTTGGTTATTTTTATTTTTAAGGTTTTTTTTTATGAAAATTTAAAAAAACCCGAGTTTAACCTATTTAGTAAATATGTTGGTTAGAAAAACAATCAACAGATCAACTTTATTTCAACCTATTTACTAAAATGTTTGGATTGGGGTAGGAATTCTCAACTCGTTTACTTGAACAGGTTGGATTGAGAAGAGATTTTCAATTCATTTAATTAAATAGGTCAGCTCGTTTATGACTCAATCCAATCCATTGTCATCCTAATTTTTGAATACGTTAGATTTGTCGTTTAAAAAAAAAAAGAAAATGTTATATAATTACTTTTGAGAAATGTATAATTTAAATAGCATCAAGGTTACATAATACATGGGTTATGGATGTTATTCCAAAAACAAAGAGGACCTCATGGCAATTTCACACGACGGCATATCCACAAAACTTCTAAAACCTAATTTTCTCTCTTTTTCCCTTTTCATATTTTGTTTTTTCTTGAGGAATAGACTACTCTTTAATTAGAAGAAAGTTAACGCCATATTATTAGCCTAACTATCCAATCTTAAATCATTTTTATTTATAAGATACTTTAGTTAAAGATATTAAAGAATGTGCGAGATGGACGATCACACATAGTCCACGTTATAACGGGGACCATTCTTTTTATATACATGTATCTGTGTATATGTAATTGAACAAAAATATTTAAATAACTAATTAATTTCATCCAAAAGAATCAAAACATTCTTTCTTGTTTATATGACTAATAAACTAAGAAACTAACAAAAAATCAAGAAATCAAAGGATGAATCAAATGAATCCAACAAAAAAAATCCATAAATCATAGGAAGAATTAAAAAAAGTATAACATTTAACGACTTATTATAGTATTAACAATTTTCTCGTAAAAGTGGACGTCTAGCCACATCTGATAGTCCCATTTGATAGTTTTTTGTCGGTTGGTGTTACGGATAAGCATTTGGACCGGGAACCGGCCTGAACCGGTACTGAAACTGGAACCGGATAGAACCGATCAAGCCGGGACCGGGACAATATTTTTGTAGATTTTTGGAACCGAAAACCAGTAGGAACCAGAACCTGTAGAACCAGCAAAAACCGAAACCATAACCGATATATTTCTCAAAATATGTTGTTATTTCTCTAGTTCGGAACCGGTTGAACCGGCGGTCCGGTTCGGTTCTTATTTTCCACCAAATCCAATTCGGGCCGGTTCCAATGTTGATCCCTAGTATGTGATTATGAATGTTGTTTTTTTTAGCCCCTTAACTTTGATCTACCTTGTAGTTATTTTAACCCTTTAACTGATAATCATTTTCAAGATATCAAAAGGTGCACGGAAGTTCGTTGTTAGGCTGAAAGGAGTCGGCCGCTAAGAACGCTCGCCAAGAGATCGTTAAGCATGCTACACACCGGCCCCTAACGCACGCTATGGAGCTCGCTACCGGTGAGTCGCTAGGAGTATAGCGAGAGGAGAGAGAGAATTTGGCTTGCAGTGATTGGTGATCCCATTTCAAAATTTGGCAAATTCATAAAAACAAATCACTCCGTTCTTGGCAAATGAGAGGTGTGGAAGCTTCAATTTTTGTTGCTAAAACTTGTTGCGTTAAAACTTGCTGTGTTTCAATTTTTGTTGCTAAAACTTGTATCGTTAAAACTTGCCGGTTTAAACCTGGTATTGGGGAAGAAGATAAAGAATTTACATATTTGGTCCCCAAAGTTTCGGTAGTTTAGTATTTTTTGTCGCAAAGTTTAAGCAATTTGGTATTTTTTTTTTTGTCTAAAAACATAATCCTTCTTATTTAT